TGTTGAAACTCAGGTCAGAGTCCATGACTACACCTAGATTTCTGGCTTTATCTGTTGTTTTGAACATTGCACACTGAAGCTCAGCGCTAACTTTTATACGTTCTGCCTTGGCTCCAAAGACCATTACCTCAGTTTTATCTTTGTTTAATTGGAGAAAGTTCTGACACATCCAGTCATTGATTTGTTCAATGCACTTACTCAGTGTTTGAATTGGAGCATAGTCTCCTGGTGAAATGGTTATGTAAATGTGGGTGTCATCCGCATAGCTATGGTAACTTATTTTGTTGTTTTTCATTATCTGAGCCAGTGGTAGCATGCAGATGTTAAAGAGAAGAGGCCCCAAGATGGAGCCTTGAGGAACCCTGCATGTCATATTTGTCAACTCAGATGTGTATTTACCTATAGAAACAATAGAAAGTTGTTTCTGTCCTTTAAAGTGGACCTATCATGCTATATTTGAATAATATATTGTAGGGCCAAACCTATATAAAACATGTCTGTGAAGTTTTTTTTTCAAAATACCAAACAGATCATGCATTTTAGCCATGCCTCATTTCGCTCTATTTGCTCTATTCCAGCCCTGTCTTCACAAGTGCTGATTCTGTGGCAAATGAGCTGCAGCTGACCACGCCCCCCTGCAAAGGAGGGGGGCGAGACACAAGCGCCATGTTACCATGCTGTTACCATGCTGTTACCATGCTGTTACCATGCTGTTACCATGCTGTTACCATGCTGTTACCATGCCACGCAACCTCTCATTCCCCTGATAGGTTGAGAGTTGCCCCGTTTCTGACGTCAAAACAATTTCAAATCTGTATCAGATCCGTTGCAGCCCCGTTTTTAGAGATTTGGGTATAGAGGAAAAGAGAGAGGGTTGTGTTTTCTGACACTTGGTGAGTTCCCTGACACACCGGGGACACATATTCATGTATAAAAGACGTACAAGAGTGCATTTGGCATGATAGGTCCACTTTAAGTTGGATTCACAGATAATCTTCAGAATTAAGAGTATTTATACATTTTTAAAGACGCTAACTCATGTTCACTCAAAATGTATCCGTAAAATTCTCTTTCTACCCATTCATTAGTCACCACCAGCCATCTACAATAAATAAATAAGAGAAATGGAGATTGGACTTGATAGTCTTCCAGCCAGTCAAAGTGCAACAGATGTACAGATGTAGCACTCCAGATAGGACTCACCCAGCGGATTCCAAACAAAAACCCAGCGGATCCCAGTGGCTGGGAGATTAAAGCCCTCCCACTATTTCCTGAGAGGGCGTTGCCAAATTTCCCCATTTGTTCAATTTCAGGATTTAACCATGAGATGGCGCTTCATTCACAAATACACAAAGACAACTGGGTGTTGTAGGCCTTAGTCTGTTTGCAATGTTTGCAGCTCTGCAGTTGTGCTTGCTGAATACTGTAGCATTTAATCACTTATTTGTTATGGTTTTCACAAGCTACTATAATGAAAAAACATCAATATTTTAGATCAAATAAAGTATATCTAATCTTATTATCTTAATTGTAATTCAATAATATATAGTCTGTATATATTAAATAATCATAATAATGTAAATGTTTACACTTCTTTATTTGTTATGCTCATACTTTTACCTTTACAATAGTTTGCTTTAATATGCAGTATATTTTTTGTAATATTGTTGTGGTGTACACAGTACAGTAGATCGAAGTAAATCAACTCATACATTATCACAGTAATGTAATGTGTTGTATTATTAATAGGGCCGGGACTCGATTAAAACAAATAATCTAATTAATTAGAGGCTTTGTAATTAATTAATCGAAATTAATCGCATTTTTAATCACACATAAATATTTGACCTGAGGACAGTGAGAAGCAATTTTTTTCACATGGATTTTAGTATACCATTAGGCGCATTCACACCGCAGTACTTTTCCCACAAAGGTTCATGAGAACTTAGTTCATGAGAACTCTTTGAACCTGGGGGTGGATTAGGCAAATGAAGCCGCTGACGTCACTTCTTCTTCTTCTGCTTTGGGTTTACTGGCAGGCCGCAAACCACTTCACGGCGTATACTGCCGCCCAAAGTCCCCGGCCGGAAGTCCCCGGAGTTGGGGACTGGCTTCAGTAGAAGCTGCTGGGAGTCCCAGCAGCCTTCCGAGTAAATCGCCAGAACGCCGACACCTCCTCATCTCCACCGCTCCCATGTTTTATTTTGTGTTGCCATAAATTAGTCTCTCTGCGTTTCTGCGCTGGGCTAATGCTAATAATGCTAATGCGAGGATAATAAAATTCACAAAACTTTTTGGGAGTTTTACGGGGCGTGGTTTGCAATCCGCCCAGCCAATCAGAAATATAGCTCTTTTCTCACAAGAGAGCCGTACGAAAGTCCCTGCTCTCTAGCAGCTCTCTGCTCTCTAGCAGGGACTTTCGTGGGGGTAAAAAGGTTCTCATTAACTAATTTTAGTACCGGCTCTTTTTGGTGTGAACGCGATAAAAGAGGCTAACGTCCACGCTAGCTTCCACGCTAGCTGCTATATGTTTTGCATTGAGGTGATACTTGAGGCTTGATGTGCTGCGGTGATATGCAAATTCCTTTTTGCATAATTTGCACACAACCGTGCTCTTATCGACGCTTCCATCCGTCCGTTTTTTAAAACAACATATCCCACTGTTGTTCACTGTGGTTTGTTGTTGTCTGAAGTCATGAACGTTAGTTGGTGCTCCAGTATAATCGGTACGCCTGAAACTCATCCAGTGAGAAACGTTCTGCGGTGCAAAAATAAGTGCGATTAAAATGCGTTAATTTTTTTAACGCGTTCATTTTTGTGTGATTAATTAATCTTAATTAACGCGTTAAAGTCCCGGCCCTAATTATTAAGTAATATCATACAATAACCCCATTATAGCAGATGCCACATTGAACGGATGAACGCATTTATGCATCAATAAGTACAACGGAGTAATTCTAAATATAAGTTGTTCAAATTATATGTATTTAATACTAATAACATAATGATTACTTTTACTTTCAGATGATAATACTTTTCACTTGGGCAGTTGACAATTTTGAATGCAGGACATTTACTTCTAACACGTCTTTTTACCTAGGTAAATAATCTGAATACTTCTTCCACCTCTAATTTTAACCTGTCACTGTTTTTAAAACTTTAATTACATGTTTGATATTTCCAGAGACCCTTTCAGACCGGCAATGCTGCCCTGCATGTAAAAGGGGGGATGGGAGACTTTTGTCACATTCCGATGGACAATTATTTGAAACAAAGAAAGTCCGCAACATACTATCTCTTGTTAAAGGCCCTGTCACACTGTCCCGAAATTGACACCCGATGGACACACGATAAAGGAAATGTTCAAATTCGGCTGTGATCGTAGCAACATCGGGCCATTCGTGAGGGCATCTTAAGCCATCGTATGACCGCCGGTGGAGTTTCTCAGGCTCTGGCAGCAACTTAGTGAGCGGCAACTTCGTAAGGCACTCGTGAGGGCATCTTGTCAAATTGTGTCATCTTCGTGTTATCATCAGTGCCATCGGGCATTCGCCCTCACTCTGATCGGGGCGAATGCCCGATGGCACCGATGATAACACGATGCCCTCACGATGGCCTTACGAAGGGCACAATTGACACACGAATTCAACACGAAAATGAACCTTCGCAAGGTCCTTCGGCAATTTGTTGGCATGCCAAAGATTTTGCCACCGCTCACGAAGTTGCTGCCGGAGCCTGAGAAACTCCACCGGCGGTCATACGAAGGCTTAAGATGCCCTCACGAATGGCCCGATGTTGCTACGATCACAGCAGAATTTGAACATTTCCTTTATCATGTGTCCATCGGGTTTTTTATTGCACAACAAAATCATGTAAATATATTATGTAAATAACCCAATTTGTGTTCTGTGAAACTAAAAAGGATATAATATATTATTTTGAAGGACAGTTGACAGGAAGTTGTTGTTGTTATGGAAACAACATTACGGAGAAAACGTAATATTTTCTACATATAACGACGGATAAAGTAAAGAACAAAGTCTGAAGATATCAGTACAGTATCATAGTACTGTAACACAATTGTTTTTGGTACTTTCATTGCAGTTGTATGTCTTAAATGTAATGTAAATGTTGCCTTCGTGTGTGGTTCGGGGCCATCTTCGTGCGAAATTCACAATTCCATATTCGTGTGTCCATCGGGTGTCAATTTCGGGACAGTGTGACAGGGCCTTAACAGAGGGGGGATGGTAGAGGCTTTGTCACACCGATTGCCTACAGACCCTTTCAGGGTTAAGGAATGGTTGATAGGAGAATTCAAAAGGACTTAGGAGAAGAGACTGTAGTACTTTAGAGAATCCGAATGCACTTTCACTATCCGACGTGTTTATGATGCGCCAGCGGAGTCATGAATGTGCGTCTGCTGCTGTGGGGAAACTACAGTTTTCTATACAGCGGACTACATTGATGTATAATAAGAACAACAACTACTGTAAACCCAGCGTTAAACCCATCTAGAGACTCTGATGCTGTTGTTTTGCTTTATGAACGTGGACAACAGAGAAACATATTCTTCATGACCAAAGTTGGAATTGAAATAAAAAAGGAAAGTGAAACTTATGCTCGTCACCCTCTCCCTCCGGTCCACATTAATACAAATGATCCCAATACATATGATTGTATGAACTATTAAAATATCTTAAAATCAATACAAATGTATTTATTATAAACGTTAGTCCTTAACATCTATCACTGTGTACATCACCATTCAAACATCTTTTACAAGTTGAACAAACCCCACACAGCTCAGTAAAGACTGTGAAATGTTGACTTTATTTGATCATTTCAGTAAAAACTAACGTTCATATTTCTCTTTTTGATTTTATTATAGTGATGAACGTTAAAAACAAAGCACGTTGGCTGATTTTGGAACCCTCACTATTTTTAAAATAAACGTTTTTTTAGTGAATTACTGAGTTTGTTGTTGTCATTTTACTTCCATCTCATTTCTCCTTGCCTAGAGGACAACATGGTAAAAATGGTCTCCACAGAAGGTCTGCTGCTGATCTTAATGCCCTCTGTGCTCACACACCTGGGCAGCATCAGTGAGAATCCACCAGCAGCTGGGAGCAGTCAGACAATAAATACAACATCATCTATTAATGAAACCTCCTGAAGCAAACAGATGCCGCAGATTTATATTTCACGACTGCATTTGTTTCTGGATGTGATTCTGGATGTGAGTGAGTGCACACAGCAGGGCTTCTGTCAGCACAGGGTACACACATTTTTTGGGCATTCTATTTATTTATTTTTTCAAATCGTTTTTATTGTTTATAAGTCAGGATTTGTTTTATTTCCTCCATAAGAGAAATTACACAGCTTCATTCTTTTATTTTCCACACATAGCTCTGAAAGTAGGGAATGTACCTGTGTTCAAAGCACTTCAAGGAATAGAAAGGGCGACAGGGCGTTTATCCATCGGGGCTCCACCCACTATATCCATAGAGTCCAGTGGAGTACAGTGGACTCTATGGTCCACTGTACTCCACTGACAGGGGCCCTCTACCTAGGGGCCCTGTCTTTCCTATGCCGCTCGCTGAAGAGGGTGTAGGATGACAGTCAGCAGGTGTAGCTGCCTTATATGCGCGCGCATTCAGGTAAGCTCGCCCTGATTGGCCGGCTACGTTTATACAACTTCAGTGTGTGAACGCCCGCGTATCATTGATGAGAGTAGTACCCATAGAGTCCAGTAGAGGGCTCCGCCTGTGCTTATAGAACTAGGGTAATAATACGTAACCCCCCGTTATTTCTGTGTGTGTGTGTTTTGCTGGGGATCTTTGTTGTATAATGTCCCTTCTTTTCTTTTCCTGTCACCTATCTAAACAATAGCACAAATGCCCATAGAGTGTGTGTTGGCTCACCCTGCACGCTCAGCTCGGTGTGTGCGGTGATGTTGTGGTTCTTGTTGGCGGCGGTACAGCTGTAGGAGCCGGAGTCATCGTCAGTGACGCTCTGGATGATCAGATTACTGCCCACCAGCAGAGAGTACTTTTTATTCCTACAGAGGAAGAGAGGGAGGTTCTTTCTATTACCACGTTTATATGCAACAGTTCCTTACCTCTGTATAATATTCCTCATTGTTAAAGAAGGTTACACACATTCTGTCCACAATTCCTGTGAAAAGACCAAAACTAAAAATCTTCATAATCGTCCCTTAGTAATTACATTCAAAGTATTTCGTGAGGCCTTCTAAAATGTTTTTAAATCTAACTAGGGTTGCAGTTGAAGAGTTTGTAAATCAACATGAACCCAACCTGTTGCCTGGCAACGCAATCGCACAATGTCACGTCCGTTAATTACACATCCACACACATGGATTAACATCGATTTAATACATTAATGTAGCCTTTGTTTCTGCTAAAAGAGGTGTCGACCAGCTGGGGCAACAAGAAAATCGGCGAAATCGAGAGTGACTATTAAAAAAATTAATAATTATTATATTAATATTGACAATAACAACCGACCGTCGTGGTAGAGCATTTGCTTGGCATTTCCGGGTATATCTCCACGAGTTGGGCCATGTTAACAATACCGTGTAACTGTCACTTTTGAAGGGACGAAATTGTGACATCTTCACGTCTCCCAGCATAGTAAATCGTCCCATGTTCACGTCTTGCCGTGACACCGGGTTGGCCAGGACGCAGTTAGGGGTTCTGTGCCTTGCTCAAGGGCACCTCGGAGGTCCAGGGCCCAGGAGGTGAACTGGCACATCTCCAGCTACCAGTCCCCTCCGTGTTTTTTTTTGTTCAATCGGGACTCGGACAAAACAGTACCCGTCGTATATAATCATTGTTGGTTTTGGTCTGTTCATGGCATTTATCGACAATAAGAAAAGATAAACGGTGCGGTAAAGCGACTGCAGTACCACGACTGCAGTACCGCTCCTGCTGCTCCGATTCTCCAGCCCATCTCACTCTCCATTGTTCCCTCACTCGAGAACAAGACCCTGAGATACTTGAACTCCTTCACTTGGGGTAAGGACTCATTCCCTACTTGGAGTGGACAGTCCATCGGTTTCCTGCTGAGAACCATGGCCTCAGATTTGGAGGTGCTGATCCTCATCCCAGCTGCTTCACACTCGGTTTCGAACCGATCCAGTGAGTGCTGAAGGTCGCAGACCGATGAAGCCATTAGAACCACATCATCTGCAAAAAGCAGTGGTGCAATCCTTAGTCCACCGAACTGCAGACCCCCTCCCCCACGACTACGCCTCGAAATCCTATCCATGTATATTACAAACAGGATTGGTGACAAAGCGCAGCCCTGGCGGAGGCCAACCCTCACCGGAAATGGGTCCGACTTACTGCCGAGGACCCGGACACAGCTCTCGCTTTGGGAGTACAGAGATTGGATGGCCCTGAGTAGAGACCCCCTCACCCCATACTCCCGCAGCACCTCCCACAGTAACTCCCTGGGAACTCGGTCATACGCCTTCTCCAAGTCTACAAAACACATGTAGACCGGATAAGCGTACTCCCAGGCCCCCTCCAGGATCCTTGCGAGAGTAAAAAGCTGATCTGTCATTCCACGACCAGGACGGAATCCGCATTGTTCCTCCTCAATCTGAGGTTCGACAATCAGCTGTTTTACCGCACCGTTGTGACGAAAAGGGAGCTGAGCCAGAAGGCAAAGCTCTCAGTCTACCGGGCCATTTTCGTTCCTACCCTCACCTATGGTCATGAAGGATGGGTCATGACCGAAATAATGAGATTGCGGATACAAGCGGCCGAGATGGGTTTTCTCCGCAGGGTGGCTGGTGTCTCCCTTAGGGATAAGGTGAGAAGTGCGGTCATCCGACTCGGAGTTGAACCGCTCCTCCTTCGCGTCGAAAGGAGCCAGTTGAGGTGGTTCGGGCACCTAGTAAGGATGCCACCTGGACGCCTCCCTAGGGAGGTGTTCCAGGCACGTCCTGCTGGGAAGAGACCAAGGGGTAGACCTAGGACCAGGTGGAGGGATTATATCTCTTCGCTGGCCTGGGAGCGCCTTGGGATCCCCCAGTCAGAGCTGGTTGATGTCGCCAGGGAAAAGAAAGTTTGGGGCTCTCTGCTGGAACTGCTACCCCCGCGACCCGACCACGGATAAGCGGGAGAAGATGGATGGATGGATGGAAGAAAAGATAATTAATTATCACTGGACTTATGTAAATTACTGGGCCAGTTTGGCTCTACTGGACCAGAATATTCTTTGACTGTACCAAAGGGTTCTACATGGATAATGTTATGAGTAATGACAGACAGACCAGCTCTGGATCATCTCCTCTCCTCTCCTCCACTGGATGCCTGGAGTCGGGTATCCAGAAGCGGAACATTCCAGCACGGCATCGGTTCCCAGCAGAGCCGTGACCCTCGACGGACGCTGGAGGAACTGGAGGTTCCTGCTCACCCCCGGCTCTGAGAGAGAGAGAGAGAGAGAGAGAGAGAGAGAGAGAGAGAGAGAGAGAGAGAGAGAGAGAGAGAGATTTTAATGACTATGACAGACTCCACTCTCACAGAGGATCAGTGGGTCTCACTGATGTTGGGGGATTTTCTCCAGTAAATGACTGCATGCTGTAGCACAGACACCCTGTTTCCACATATGTGAACAGTGACATTTACTCGTCTTTCTTCTCTTGTGTAACTTAAAGTGTAACTCCAACAGACTCATGTACTTCCTGTATCCCCCAAAACTCTTGGTCCAAAGAGCAGATAGTGTTCTGTGAGTTTCTGTGAGGCACACTAGTCACAGTTGATGTGGTCGCTGTCCTTGGTGCTGAAAGGACAGACGCTTACTAGGACCGAGTTGGAAAGCTAATCAGTACTCATGAATGAAAACACAAATCCTGTATAGAAGGAAGCTGCTAAATGCAAGGATGATAACCAAAAACACACAATGAGATATTGCTTCTGCAAGAAGAAGGTCAGCAAGACAGAGAGAATGAAGCTGTCAGCCTGAAAATCTATAGCGCTTATTTGGAAATAAATCAAAAAGAGATATAGAAAAAGCCTCCAAAATTCAATATTCACAGTCATATTGACATATAGGTAATAAGATTGTGTCAAAAATAATGGCTTATTTGGTCACCTGGGCTTATCATGTTGAGAACATGTTGCAAGGACGATATGAGTAGAACATCAACATGGTAGGTGTGTAGTTTAACATCATCAGGGCTTTCAATGACAAGTAGCATTAAACACAGTACAACACAGCCTGGACCAATGTGACTGTCCATCTTTGAAGGTGTTTGGGCCTTAACAAAGGTTTTAGACACATTTTGACCAGATGATTGTGCTAGTGAGGGAATTCCCTAAGTAATGGGGATTACTCTTCGGGGACTATTAATGTCTGAACCACATTTCATGGAAATCCATCCATGGATATTGTGATTTCCAGTGGACTGAATGGAGGTTACTGAAACCCTGGCTGTAGGAAACAAGAAATAAAAAGTGGTCTCGCATGTTAAAGTCCAAAGTTCTGTAGACATGCATCTGTTGAAAATAACCAGCTTTTATTCAGGCATTTCGAAAACAATTCTGATTATGTAGTTTTACTTGGGGATCCACACTGCTAACACAGATGGACAACACTCATTAAGCCATTCAGTCCAACATTTTCAAATCTTGTGAAACACCGTGATAACAGAAGAAGGAGCCTGCTCCCAAAGCATACATATAATATGAAGAGCAAAGAACTTCAGTGATTAACTTAAAATGTTCTTAACCTGTTAAGCCCTGAGCCGGGTTTTCAGGTCTCAGGCTCGAAAATGACATTCCCAGAACAAATTACCATATCTTCCCTTCTAAAAAGGTTAAATTAATAATCTTTTTTCTCAAAGTAATGATAAACCTGTGAGTTGGATGTAGAAAAGTCAGTGTGTGAATGCTGTAAACTGTGAACATTTGTGGCTGAATTTAGCTGAAAATGCAGAAAAAGCTGAATATTTTATTAGCTGAATGGTAGCTGCTTTTAGCTACAATAACAAAAAAAGTAAGTGTGTTGCTGAACTTAGCGGAGAAATACAGAAAAGCGAAATGATTTTAATCAAACTTGTTACAGCTCAAATGCATTGCAATAACTTTGTTGACAACTTGAAAGTGAAATGTTAAACTGGAAGTGTAGGAAAAATAGTGAAGAAGCTTAATATTTCAAAGAAAAGGTTTAAAAAAGGTATAAACAATTAAATGTATAGCCCCAATATCCTGAAATAGCTGAATAATGTAATAGTTGAATGGTTTATAGCTGAAAGTAGGCTGAAGGAGTTAGATATGAAATGTAAGTAGTAGTGAATGAATGTGTATTAAGAAGAGAAAAGAAAGTAAAAAGGCTTTGAAAAGCAGCAGAATATTTTAACTGCAAACTTTTGAACTAACTTGATGGCGAGTGATCTGTCACCATGGCAACGGAATTTGATGAAACCCCATAATACGCTTAGATGTGTTAATGGCTACATCGTTCCCAAACCTGTGAAGTTTTGGGCCGTTTTCAACATGTTTCACTGAAGTTATGAGAAAACCGTGTTTCATGGTTAGTATTGTGTTGCCATGGCAACGGCATTTGAAGAAATCTCAAAAATATCCCATAGATGTCTTCACGGCTGGACTGTTAGCACCCATGTGAAGTTTGAGCACTTTTTGACAATTTTCATAGGAGTTATAGCAATATCGTGTTTTATGGTGAGGGATGCGTTGCCATGGCAACAGTTTTGGAGGAAAACTCACTATTGGCACATAGACATGTTGAGGGCTGGACTATTAACCATTATCTGAAGTCTGGTGCTGTTTTGACCCTTTTCATAGGCGTTACAATGACATCTTATTTTTTGTTGAGGGATGCGTTTCCATGGAAACGGCATATGGTGAGATCTCAGATTTGGCTTAGAGCTGTTGAGGCATGGACCGATGATATACAAGCAAAGTTTGGGGGACGGTCGGACCATGTCCACTGGAGTTACATCGACATCTTGTTTTATGGCGAGGGATGCGTTTCCATGGAAACGGCACATGATGACACCCCATAATTGACGTAGAGCTGTTGAGGGCAGGACCATTAACCATTATCTGAAGTCTGCTGCTGTTTTGATCATTTTCATAGGCGTTACCACAACATCGTGTTTTATGGCGAGGGATGCCTTTCCATGGCAACAGCCTATGGTGAGATCTCAGATTTGGCGTAGAGCTGTTGAGGCATGGACCAGTGATATACAAGCGAAGTTTGGGGGACGGTCAGACCATGTCCATTGGAGTTACAGCGACATCGTGTTTTATGGCGAGGGATGCGTATCCATGGAAACGGCATATGGTGACACCGCATAATTGACGTAGAGCTGTTGAGGGCATTACCATTACCCATTATCTGAAGTCTGCTGCTCGGAGCATGTCAGTTGGAGTTATGACATCGTGTTCCATGACACAGGTGTTTATATTTGAGCTAACGATGACAGCTGTGTGTGTGTCCAGAGATCAAAGGTTTCCATGGTGATGTGCAGTAATCAGTCAGAGGAGAGTCTTTCCATCGTTCTGAATGAGAGATAAGCCTCTTGCATTTCTAACTTTTGTTGAAAAAATAATAATACAAACGTCCAGTCTGTCTGTGGGCGTGTCTGCTCTGATTAGATGATGTCACTCAGGTGTGTGGGCCCAATCTGCCCAGCAACACCATGTTTACCAGCTGCAGCACTGAGTGCCATTAAGAATGCATTGAGGATTATATCTGACAATTTTGCCACCTGTTCAAAAACTATGGCTCCTATAAATAAATGACCAGAAAGTGAGCATCAGGGAACCCCAATGAACTGATATATGTTTTTTTTTTGGGTTTTGTGTGTCAAATGTGAAGATGGGAGCAGTTTATCTAAAGTGGACTTCTCTCTGTTCTGAAGAAAGTTCCGGTCAAATGTAACATGGGAGTCTATTTGAAGCTAGGTGGACTTTTTGTCACTCAGATCACTATTGGGCCAGAATGGTGGGTCCGTTTGATATGATGAAGGCAATTGAGCAGGCCAGACTAATTATGCTCCTGATATCTTTTGAAATTATTTGAATAAAGTGTATATTTTGGCTCTGAGAGCAGTTTTTTTTTTTAAATCCGAAGATTTTTAAGACTCTCTACACAAGGGGTGCCCAACCTTTTTTGAACCGAGAGCTACTTCACTACGTCAGGCAGATCAGGGTCCCGACCCGTAGTGGAGGGATCTTGAGCAGCATGAAGGGTTTTATTTTCCCCATAATGACCAAGTCGCTGCACATTATCTCGCTTATTACATGGCCACATTCTCAACAAAGTAACGAAATGACTCCCAATATTAATTGAAATGCTTTTATGGATTTAGAAAATGTTTTTATTGATTTAAAAAATAGCTGTATTGATTTAAATTGACATGCATCCGCTAAGAAAAATAGTCCGTTGTTACCGTTTTTTAAACAGTCTGAATGAAACGGCAGCTCTCAGCTGTGTGTTTACACACCTAATGGCCCATCAGGCACAACTCTCCCCCCCCCGATCTTACAGCTACACCATTGTTTGGTTTCCATGGTAGCGCGTCTCTTTAGTAGCGCGGGCAACTGAAAGTCTGAGAGGGTGTGGATTGTTCACAGAAAACAGAACAAAAATCGACAACTCCACCCTCTGCTCACTCCTTTCCTGTAAAATACAGGTCCAGCCAGGCAAAACAGTGCACTTCTCTTTCCCGCACTACTGTGACAGACCATGGGGCTGGGTCAGCCACTAACATATTCATATTGCTCTTCTCAAAAAGAGAAATATGAACGTTAGTTTGTAACTGAAATGATCAAATAAAGTCAACATTTCACAGTGTTTTTAAAAACATTGACCTTACCGTTCACCAGCCCCACCCCCTATGCCTATGTATGTTGCAAACTCTTTGTTTAAAACTAATTGGCCATCGGAATGGGTGTGTCCCAACCCCCCCCCTGTGATCTCTCTTCTCCAGCAGTCTGGTTTGTGTTCGCATATTTATGCTGTCGCAGTTCCTGTTGTTTCTATCGCGCATTGCCGGTATGAAAGGGTCTGTGCCGGAAATATCAAACATTTAATAAAAGTGAAAAACAATGAACAAGACTTAACGTATTCATCATAATTAATTATATTTATTCAGTTTGGATGTAGGATTTTTGACTTTGTTTAGAGCAGTGATCCTCTCTTCCTCTCTGCAGCAGAGAGCTAAGCGCTGTCAGACCGGACCTAACCCTGAAAAGTATTATCATCTGAAAGTAAAATTAATCATTATGTTATTAATATTAAATACATACAAGTATTTTTACAACTTAAAGCATAAATGTGTTCATCCATTCAATGTGGCATCTGCTATAATGGGGTTAAGGTATGACATTACTTAATAATACAATACATTATAATATATGATAATTACATTTTAGTTTTATTCATTTCTTATTTCATAGAAACTTATCAAACATGTAATTAAAGAATGGTGATATACACAGTGATAGGACTAACGTTTATAATAAATAGCCTAGTATTTATCCATATTCATAATAATATTTATATATTCAACAACAATCTTTAATGTAAAAGGTTCATAAAATAAAAACACAACACTGTCATTGCAAGTCACACTCAGTTGACTTTTATGTTCAACTGCTAAATTCGTTACTGATCAAAAATGGCTTCTACCTAATTACCTTAAATAAACTCACTAATCACGTAAAAGGATAAAATACGGCAAAGATATTAAAATATATGTGCTTCCATTTTTCATACTTTTGAAATATATTTGTATTAACTTTATATCATCGTATCTCCGTGTTTACTGGGTCTTTCTGCATGAAACAAAGACTGGCATATAGTTTCAAGCCAGTACTTGTCCGGACTGTTGTTTTTATGCGGCGCCGGCTTGAACAGGTCATGTGATCTGATTACGCCGGCATTATTCTTATTCTTATCATTCTTTATGAGCGCAGTAGCCTAATGGTAAGGTAGTCTATCTAATTACTTATTTATAAAGTGGAGACAAGGCAGAAATCCTACAATGAAGCGGGACAGTGTTCTCCGTGAGATCCAGAAACTAAAGCTAAGTTCTATTCAAATTCCAATTATTGACGGGAAGAGCGGTGTAAATGGGTGGCAGATATGCATTTGAAAAGAAATAGTAATCACACAGTTATCATACAATAGGCTTAAACAAATATATCTCTGCACCCCTGGCTGAAATGTCCTTAAAATGAAGTCCGAGTTCGACATTTTAATTCATGTCCTGCCAACTCTGGCAGGACAGAAGGCGACACGCCCGTTCTAAGCCGTGTCCCTCACTCCTCACATCCCAAGCTGCATCCCCAAAGAGTGTATTATGTTGTTACATCGTTTCAGATGCTATGTTTCAGTTGTGCTCTTGATACTCCATTAAAACAGTAAAAACACGTTCAGTTTCCTTTTGCTTTTTGTGTCTCCTGTTCACCAAAACATACCCATCTGTGATGGGTATGTTTTGGTTTTACTGTATTCAGTAATCAGTAACTGATTACATTTACAAAGTAACCCTCCCAACCCTACACTACACATTTTTGAATAAACTTGAATAAATCGGAATTTCTTTTAATTGTGTTTCGTGTGTCCCCCCCCCCCCCCCCCCACTTCTCAAACCAAAGTTACACCCTTGGATTTTAAACAAAGTCAAAACCTGTTTTTGAAATGAAATCTGACGGCAGGCAGTTAGCTCTGATCACCTATGATAAATGCGCCACACCTAATCGCTGGCCATTCAGCCACAGAGCTCCCTCTATACAAATCAAACTGTAGACGGTGGGAAATCACCTATTGTTTTAAATAATGGTCGGAATGTGACCTGTGAGCCTTCTGAATTACCGTGGGACAGCACATTCTAAACTCAAATGTTCAATCAATAAAGTAACATCTTATCTTAATATCTTCATATTAATAATAATAATAAATCATACAGTATGTGTCCGAAAGGGAGCAGAAGGAAGCAAACACAAAAATATACAAAAAATATACTGCATATTAAAGCAAACGATTGTAAAGGTAAAAGTATGAGCATAACAAATAAAGAAGTGTAAACATTTACATTATTATTATGATTATTTAATATATGAAGACTATATATTATTGAATTAGATATACTTTATTTGATCTAAAATATTGATGTTTTTTCGTTATACTGTAGTAGCCTGTGAAAACCATAACAAATATGTGACCCGCTCTATCGAAATCAGTCGGAAGTCTCAACGGCTCATTTCAAAATATACGTGGATTTGCGTAAAAAACAATTTTTTGGGGTTTGGGTGTTTTGTTTGATTTTAACTAAACAAAGTCTTGGCTTTCAGAATATTAAACTTGTTTCGGCAAATTCAGATGATAAATACAAGTTTGAAGCTTGTAACGGCATAATTACAAGCGGAGAACGGAGTAACTTAACGTCACAGCAGGCATAACAACAGCCGGTGTTTCTCCTGAGGGTTTTCCCCGGGAAACAAACACAATACACACAAACGCAAAAATACACAAACACACACACACACACGTATACACACACACTCGCGAGCTTCCCCTCCAAACGAAAATGTCTTCCCTCCGTAGTATTTTGATCATTTGCTAATAACCAATCAGATCGATGGATTCCAGAGAAGAGGAAACTTTAAAGGCCTTTTTCTTAAAATGATGACTCGGTGACAGTCATTATATAATGTGACATATTTTGCTTAATATTTGGAGTACAACAACAATCCTGATATCATTAGAAAGCTAGGAATCTCCTCTTTCCAACAGTGTATACAACTCAAAATGTGTCTTCGGGTCAATGCGACTGATTTCAATAGAGCAGGTCACATATGTGTTCAAATGCTCTTCACCAAAACACAACTGAAGTACTGAAAGTCCATGAAACTTGTCTTTCTGTATTTGTGAATGAAGCGCCACCTCCTGGTTAAATCCTGAAATTGAAAATCTGGCAACGCCCTCTTGGAAAATAGTGGGAGGGCTTAACATTCCCAGCCGCTGGGATCCGTTGGGTTTTTGGCAGGAATCTGTTGGCTGGAGTCCTTTCTAGAATGCTACATCTGTAAAGCTACTCGTGAGTTGTCTGTATTTGCTTCCCCTGTCACGAGTTCTGATCGCTCAGTGAAGATCCTTATATTTCTATAATCTGTGGACTCTCAGAATATTATCTAAGCTTGTTTGTGCAGATCCAATAAGTATATCGATCAGTGTAGCTAGAGTTATGTGCTAACGGCCTTAAGATTGTTTCGCTTGTAGCTAATTCAGAGGCTCGGCGCTAGCTTTGTGGGTTTTTAAAAAATAAAATAAAAAAAAGATCAGTTAGCTGAGTTTCTTCCGGTTACATGGATATAAAACATTCATAGTTTATTGAATATTAAGATGCCCTCCGACGCTGTTTCCTGCAGATGACGCATTTTCGGTATCGGGGGGAAAAACGCGGTGGAGAAGAGGTTAAGATATTCATTGCTATCGGGATGTTCAGAGCATTCCATGGAATATAACAAAAAGTGTATCTCAAGCCGGTTTCTCAAACTTACCTACCCCACCTTTAAACTATATTTTGATAATATCCCAACATTTTAATACATTTGTATGTCTCAACACCTAAATATGCAACTTATGTCACTTTGTGTTTTTTAATTGCTGCTTTTAATCTTTTGCCATGGACGTGTACTTATTTTTCTATTTTATTATATATTATAGTTTATTCTTTATTACTGCATGCATTTTTCTACCTGCTATGCCACTTTTGCTGTAACTCAGTAAATGTCCCCGCAGCGGGACTAATAAAGGAATTCTGATTCTGATGTATCGTAGCAGAGAGGCTCCAAACCCTGAGGCACCAAATATACACCATGAGAGAGAAACTCTGTACACTGAGACAAAATACTGCTTGAGGCTCTGCTCTTTGATGAGAGATGAATGGAAGCATCTGGACATGATAAAGATGTATGTTAGTATGTGTGGTATGGAATGTCAGTGCTCAATATTCAGATCCTTAACTTAGAGGTTGTACTTATTGTACCAAATAAAAAATGTGGAGGTCCTTCGGTGAAAATGTTACTTAGGTAAAGGTAACCAATGCAAATGTAATTACACTATCACACAGTATATGACATCAGAAGTTAATATTATTCATGCTTGGTTGTAAAGGCAGAGTTCGACTGTTGTTGTTAGACAGAGTTATTTAAGATGATGATTCATTTCAATAAGGATCATTTTCTCCGTTGACTATTGATTGTTTTGATTGTCAATATTCTGAGGTAAAGTCACCAATCAAATAACTGACTGATCTTTCAGCTGTACTGGCATATACTTTGAGGTGGTTTAATCATTAATCATTTGTTCAAGAACTAGCATCTTCAGCTGCGCTGCACAGCATTAAAAACAATTCAGTTTTACAATGCACTTTGAAATAAAACGTATATATTATTATAAGAGCTTGATTATTATTTTTGGTTTTCCAATGCAGTTGGTGAACACCTGATTTACTAGTTTAACCACTGTGTTTAATTCATGTGATAAACTAAATCAGCAATGTATTACTAATTGTAAAGCAATACATTTTTTAAGTAACCCTCCAAACCCTGTCAACGTTGCACCAATCCACGTCTCTCCAGAGGAAAACACTGCTTTACTCAAATACCGTAATTTAGAGAATGTACTTAGTTACACACTGAAGTACACAGAGTATATGTCAGGTACCTGGCAGCACCCGGAGCTCTGCGTCCATCCCGGTCCTGGTGCTGCCCGGGTTGTCTGCCAGACACCGGTACGTGGCAGAGTCTGGCGGCTGGATGCGGCTGACCTGCAGCGAGCCGGATGGCAGCACCGCCAGGCGAGAGTCGGGGTCAAAGGTCAGTGCTAGGTCCTCCCGATTTTTCTGCCAGCGGATGATGGGCGTGGGGTCGCCTGAGACCTCGCAGCGCAGCAGGGCCGTGTCCCCCAGGTACGAGGACACGGACTCCGTGGGGATGACCACCTTCAGCGGACCTGCAGGGAGACAGAGGGGTCAGTAACAAAACATGGAGTATCCATAGAATTCACTCAGCGTATATATTATTATATATTATAGTATACACATTGTATTGGTTGTTTCGTTGAGTCCTCGCCTGAAGCCTACCGTTACACTGCATTGAGACTTGGATTTAGAGAAAACAGTGCCAACAGACAAATAGCGATAAAACCAAGCTATATCTATTCAAACAAATATGAACAAAGCAAAACGTGTTTTTATAGTAATGTCAGGATCAATGGATAAGCATTTTAACTGTGGAATGGACTCATCAATAAGAGAACCTCATGTTTCACTGAAGCATCTTTTGGCACCTGACTGCTGAGCCATGTCTCAGCTAGATAGATACAGACGTTCCAAAAAAAGCATGGCTGAGAGTCACAAAATGGAAACGGAAGATTTAAATGAAGTCTCTTTTGAATCGTAACACAAACACTGACATTCAGACTTGGTATATAAACATTAATAATAATAATAATAATAATAGATGACATTTGTATAGCGCCTTTAAGGGACCCAAGGCCGCTTTACATGGTGAACAAACAAACAAACAAACAAAAGGGGCAAATAATAAAGTAAAAACATTTAATAAATAGCAGTAGGAGTGGAAGCAGGGGGGCTGTGATGGGTTGGCCTGTTGAACCCCGAGCCTGTTTTTCAGGTCTCAGGCTCGAAAATGACATTCCCAGAACAAATGACCATATCTTCACTTCTAAAAGCGGAAAATTAATAATCTTTTTTCTCAAAGTAATGATAAACCTGTGAGTTGGATGTAGAAAATTCAGAATCAATATAGATGTTTTTTATTTTAAAGAAAATTCAGATTGAACATGGTAAAAAACTGTAAATTATAGTGTCCGTCCAAACATTATTTTTTACTTACAGTGAAAACTACCCTTGGATGATGGGTTAGTAGACTAAAAGCTTTAGTAATCCAAAGTACAACATATAATAAGTAACGTCGGGTTACGTATTGTAACCCTTGTTATATTAACACAGGCGAAGCCCTCTACTGGACTCTATGGGTACTACCTTATCATGCAAGCATTCACCTACTGAGATTTCTATAGACGTAGCCGGCCCCGGGGCGGGCCTACCTGAATGCGTGCGCATCTCACTTCCGTATAAAAGGAGGCCCCGCCTCCTGACCATCATCCTACACCACTCTTCAGCGAGCGGTATAGGACAGACAGTGCCTCCAAGGTAGAGGGCTCCGCCTGTGTTAATATAACAAGGGTTACAATACGTAACCCGACGTTATATCTCTCACAGGCTCCACCCTCTACTGGACTCTATGGGTACAGTGGGCGGAGCCCCGATGTATGCACGCACTGTCGTCCAGCACACCGTTCCACCTCACTGCCTCACTCACCTCTCCCTCGGTTGTAACCGTGGAGAAGTCTGGGCTGCGGCCCATAGAGCACACCCTGACGCGCTTGCCTCGCAAAAAAGTGTGCTCGAAAACAGTGCTGAGGGCTCCCCTGCGTCCGCCTATAGGCAGACGGGGAAAGTCCGCAGCTGTATGGGTTCACTATGCACCCTCTCTCCTGAGTCCCTAAAGAGCACGGGGAGAGCCCAAGTGCCCCCTATGTCCCCACACTCAGACACTAACCCCGTGCAGAGTGTGTACGGACTATAGTATGGAGGGCTATGCCGGCACCTCGCCCTTTAGCCCTGTAAGGGCCCAAAGCGCATTACGTCACTCCGCGACCCTCCAGGAGTACGGAGAAACGTAAGCGCATTTACGCCCGGGGAGGGGGTCAGATGCCCACTGACCCACAGACTCCCCCTCCTCACCAGTCCTGTGTTGCCCCAGCAAGCACAGACGCTGAGAAAGAGCCATACATATCCAAGAGATACAACTTTATGAAGGGACCTGGCGTTGACCAAGACACCGCCGTGCATATGTCCTCCACACTCACACCGTTGAATAAAGCTGTCGACACAGCCACAGCTTGTGTGGAGTGCGCATGGACCCCCGTGGGACAGGCTCTCCCTGCCTGCTCGTAGGTGTGTGCAATGCCTCCGCAAAGCCAGCCTGCCAGGCGTTTCGTGGACAGAGCTTTTCCAGTCACCCCGCCCCCGAAGCACACAAACAGCTGTTCAGTGCGTCTGAATTGTAGCTTCCCTGGCCCCACCATGGGGTGGAAGACTAAATCCCTCCAACTGAATAGCCCTCGACCTGAACGCACTCCTTAGGCTCTTGGGCACAAAGGAGGGGTTCGGTCTGAGTGTCGCCCCGCTCCGGTCACTCCGAATCAGTAAACAGCTCGGGTGCACCGACAGAGCGGTTAACTCGGACACTCTTTTGGCTGACGTTAAGGCAAGAAGCAACGCTGTCTTCCACGACAGTGCTTTCAGGGAGGAGAGCTCTAGAGGCTCAAATGGTTCTGTGACCAGAACCTCGAGCACCAGCGGCAGGTCCCACTGCGGGGTGGAGGCGCGCACTACTGGGCGCAGCCTCCTGACCCCCTGTAAAAACCGCAACATCAGTGGATGAGAAAAGGCTGACCTGCCGTTGAATCCCTCATGACAGGACGAGATGGCTGCTGCATACACTTTACAGTAGAATGAGCAAGTCCTCTGTCCTCCAATAACTGTGAAAAGGACAAAATAGAGCCCAACTCACAATATAGGAGCTCTATTTTCCGCTCCTCACACCATCGCTGGAATCCCAGCCACTTCGGCCTGTAACAGGCTGTGGTGGATCCTGCTCTAGCTCTGCCTGGATAGACTGAATAACGCTGTCAGACAATCCACCCTGTCTCAGCCTGTCCCTCTCAGGAGCCAAGCCTGGAGAGGATGGCTCAGAGTGGGTAATGCCCCGATTGCACCTGCCTCTTGAGACATCGCCCCCCAGAACTGGGGAATTGCCCAGGGCTGGCCCACCTTCATCTGTGTCATCTCTGAGTACCACGGAGCCCCGACGCGATCCGGCGCTACTAGGATGATTGACAGACGTTCTCGCCTCACTCTCCCCAGGAGAGGGAGAATGTGACGCAGCGGTGGAAAGGCGTATAGCAGCTTCCTTGGCCATGGCTCGTGTGCAAACGTGTCCACCCCCAAGGGCGGGTCGTCGTCCAGGGCCATGGAGAACCACAGGGTACAGTGGTTGTTGTGCCGGCTGGCGAACAGATCCACTTCCGCTCTCCCGAACTGGGCCCAGATCTGCTTCACCACCTCCGGGTGAAGCGTCCATTCGCCTGGCAGGGGGCCGCCCCTCAATATGAGGTTGGCTCCCCTGTCCTCCAGTCCCGGGATATGAAGGGCTCTCAGAGATAACACCACCTCTGAAGCCCATAACCACAGCCTCGCCGCTGTGGCCAACAAGGTGGCGGAGCGGACTCCGCCTTGCCTGTTGATATAAGCCACTGTGGTGCTGTTGTCGCTCCTGACCATTACATGTCTCCCTTGAATTAGGAGCATGAAATGCTGGAGGACTAACACTACCGCCCGTAGCTCTAGGAGGTTGCTGTGTCGTGTTTCCGTTAGAGACCAGTGCCCACCTATAGCCCTCTTCAGGCAGGTCCCTCCCCATCCTGTTCCTGTGAACACTGTGATGTAGGAGGTTACCCGTCCCAGTGGAGACCCCCTCCGGAGGCGCCCGGGAGACCCCCAGAACCGGAGGTTGCCCTCCACTGAGGGGAGGATGGTCACCAGCCGCCGTTTGTGCCTCTTGGGATCCAAACGCAGGCTGGAGAACCACCTCTGCAGGCGGCGCATATGCAGTGACCCCTGCGGGACCACAATGTGAGCAGCCGCCATGAGACTCAAAGTCTGCATGACAGTTAAAGCTGTCACTGTCGCCCCCTGTCGCAGCCTGTGAACCGCCCGGAGAAGGGACGCACTTCTGCTCCCTGACAGGGTGGCGTGTAGCGCGCCTGCATCGAGCACCACTCCCAACTACAACGCCTGTTGGTGAGATATGGGGGTGCTCTTTTTTCAATTGATCGCAAAGCCTAATTTGGTTAGGTGTGTGATCAATTGTGCTGTGCATAACATTGCCTGTTCCCGGGACCCGGCCATGACTATGAAGTCGTCTGGGTAAAAGAAAAACTCTCATGCCGTGGGCGCGCAGCGGTTGAAGCACAGTGGCCACACATTTAGTGAACGTGCGTGGGGATAGGGAGTAGCCGAACGGTAATCTGTTGTACTCATAGGCTATCCCCTGGAAGGCAAAACGCAGACACTTTCTGTGCTCCGGAGCAATTTCCACATGAAAGTACGCGTCTTTCAGGTCGATGGTGGTCAACCAATCGCCCGGTTTGCACTAGCCCCATTAACTGTTTTTATAGTTAACATGTAGAATTTTCTGCAGGCAATGTAGCGATTCGGGCTGCTGAGATCTAGAATAGATCTGAATTCCCCTGTCTTCCTGAGAACCAGGAAGTACATGGAATAAAGACCATTTTCTCTGTGCTGAGGGCGCACAACAGACACAGCCTGTTTCTGCACCAGAGCCGGAATCTCTGCTGAGAGGAAACCAATCTCCTCCTGGGAGGACAGATTTCCTCTCGCATGCCCATAAAAAGAGGTGGGACGCTGCAAAACTGGAGTGAATTGCCCCGTTTCAGCGTCCTGTCCAGGGCCGCCCCATGCCAACTTGGGGCCCCAAGCGACATTGTGAGATGAGGCCCCCCCCACCAACCGACAGGAGTGAAAAATGTTTTTTTGGAAACAAAGTAGGCTACTTTGCAAATATAATTCCGGTTTATTATTATTATCAACACAGTTACTTTTTTATACAGTGAGGTAAATGGTAAATGTTTACAGGTGAATACATCTGCATTTCCTGCCAAATACTAGCCTCAAAAATATTACAATATAATTAATGCAAATAAACTACTTCTACTAATAATAATAATAATAATAATAATAATAATAATAATAATTATAATCAATTCAATAATATAAATACTATATTATTTTATTATAATATAGTTGTAATATAGTCAAGACAAAACATGCTTATGACATG